ATCCCTTTCAGTGCAGCCCCCTGTCCCTGAGCCCTTTCTCAGCCTGTGACCATTTGCTCTGTGTTTGTGCTGCTCCTTTGAGGAGAGGCCATGGAACAAGGCCTGCGGGACTGCTGCAGATCCATCCGSATCGGGAAAATCCTGATCCAGAGCGACGAGGAGACGCAGCGAGCCAAAGTCTACTACGCCAAGTTCCCACCAGACATCTACAGGAGGAAAGTGCTGCTCATGTACCCAATCCTGAGTGAGTGTCACGGACAGCCAGACTGCTCTGAATGCTGAGAGCCTGCATTGAAAGGAAATTTCCAAATTTCAGGGCTTTGATTGGGTTTTCTGCTTGGTTTAGGTAACAGAGGAAGGAATTTATCAGGCTGTGCCAGGGCACACATTACTCAGCTGCACCAGGGGGAATGCAGAGCAAATCATTTAGGCATGGCTGCGTTTGGGAGAAAGGCTGAAGATTAAGACTTGATATAAATTTAAATTTTTAAGTTTTGCTGCGAGAAAAGGCTCAAACAGTATTTTTTCTCACACTAGAAAAMGATATTTTTGGACTAATATTATAACTCTAGAAGTAAATGCCTTTCAAATTAAATAAAGTTAATGCTTACCAAAAAAAAAAATTAATCTGGTAAGTATGGTAAGGAGTTTATTGAGATGAGATAAGTTTTCCAGTCTAAGATTTTATTCTGCCCTACCTATGGAGCTTTTAATTTCCATTTGACTATTTTAGATGAGCTTTCTTGCCTCAGGCTTTTAATAAAATCCACCAACTTCTTTGCTTAAAACCTGGCAGAGTTGGCTTTTTCAGAACAGAAATGAAGTTCCTTCATCAGGAGTCAGGTCTTCTACAATTAATACCTGCAGAGGTGAGAGTTTTCCAGAGAGAAAGGACAGAATCATCATTCAGTTGCACACAGATATTTTTGGTTGGCCTGGGACAATTTTGACAACCAGAAGGAAAAATAAAATCTTGGTTTTTTCCCCCTCAGGGGTAACACTGTCACCGAGGCTGTCAAGGTGCTTGTAGAACACGGGGTGCAGCCAAGTGTCATTATCCTGCTCAGCCTGTTCTCTTCATTGATGGCAAGTTGAGACCTTTGGTGCCTCTCCAAAGGTGCCAAATCCATCATCCAGGAATTCCCAGAAATCACCATTTTAACTACAGAAGTGCATCCTATTGCACCATCACACTTTGGACAGAAGTATTTTGGGACAGACTGACACCCTTGAAACTGGGTATGACTGGCATTGCAATAGGCTTTTTCTACATTTTATTACTGTTGAGCTGATTGAGGACATATTTAAAAACCTTTTAGGCCAAAGGGGGAAACACTTGACTTAGGTTAGTTCTGGCCTGAACAGGGATCAGGTACAGTGACAAAGCACTCTGATGACATGAACAAGCATCTCCATCTTAGGGTTCTACAAATTGCCACATTCTGCTTTAACTATTTAGTCTTCCATAGCCTGAATTTTTTGGCTGCAASTGGATTTCTAGCACTTAACTAGGTACTGACAGTAAACACAAGAGAAATCCTTTGGGATTAAGGATATTCGACAGAAGTTAACACATCCTGCATTTATCACAGACTTTGTATGCAGCTTTCTGTCAGAAGCTACAGAAAGACAAACTCAATTTAGAAAGTAAACAGCAGCCCAGCTTTAAGCCCAGGTAGCTAGAGAAAATCAGAATTCCTGCATTTACACTGCCCAGTTGGCTTCATTTACCTGCTCAGTTCCTGGCTCTGCCTCTACTTTGAGTATACAAGGATCTGAGTTTGGTRGATCTTTTATTTTAAWTTTTTTTGCTCAGGTTTAGAAGCTCCCAAGAGATTCAGATTTTCCTCACCTCACTGCATTTGGATTATTACTTAGCTATATTGTGAGTAAGTTATTTTAATATCTTTTTAGAAAAAAAAATAAACCAGCTTTTTTTTCATCTATCACTGCATACCTAATAAGCAGTTTTCAAAACCCTGGGRGATTTAAAGCAAATTTATTTACCCTCGTTGAGGCAAACCACATTAAACTTACCATGGAAAGTGTTGCAATTCTCTTTTGCTATACATACAGTAGCAAATTGAAAACACTTAAGTAGGAATTACACCATGCTTTTGCTGTAGATTTTGGATTTTTCCCCATACTGTGAAGTTTTCCATGCAAATATATTTTCCCTCACTAGCTTTTTGAGATATGCTGCTACACTGATCCTAATTTTGTCAAAGCCGCTAAGGAGATGTGTGTGCACAGGTCATTAATTGTTATTAATGTCAAGTGGATGCTGAAATCCATTAAGTGGTTTTGAAAAATCAGAGCTTATTCTGTACCTGATSGACTCTGTGAGGGCATTTGCAAATAAATCCACCAAATCACACCAAGGGAGAGACTTTTCCTCAGCTGCCTGCCCTGGACCTCAGCTCCAAGCTTTTGTCCCTGAGGAAGGTGTGAATCAGCAAGATCCAGCTGTCATCCCTGCTCCTGYGCCTGTTCATCTCCCAGCAAACTGGCAAATGTCTGCTTGAAGAGCCTGAGCTCACCCACAGATGTGAAGAAGAATGTTTTACTCCTCTGTTGCTTTGCCACTTGATGATTTTGAAGACTTTTACTATAGTCAATCAMGTCAGCGTATTTTGTTGAGGGGGAAGGAAAGAGACAAACAAAATCATGTGTCAGATGTCATAAAACACCAAGAGGCTTTTCCAGGAGTGTGACCATCATCTTATCCCTCCWTTCAAACAGAATATGCTCCACCTCCCATTTGCTCAAGAATCCCTAATAATTTTGCTGCTTAGGTTACTGGTGCCTAACAAAGCCACTTTTATTCTGCTCTGTGCTTGCCTGGCACCCAAAAAAAATGGGGTGAACRGGCAGGATTCCCTTCCATAATTATCATAATCAGTTGTGGCAGTGCCCTCCCCTCCACTTTCCTTTGAGGTGGCACTGAGGAACGTCCTGTTGTGTGCTAATTGCCAATACTCCCACTCGTGCCTGCCTTATCAATCATGGGCACAAGGCTTTCCAAGATAAAGTGGATTGACTGTGTGCCCATCATCTGCTCCCTGAATTATCCACATTCGACAAGGGAATGGATTTTTCACCATGTTCAAAGGTATTTGTCAAATATAAAAGCATGGCCACACACTCATCTCTCCTCTCTCTTTGGGAGATACAGTTTCTCTGTCCACTGGAATCTGTACCGGTTGGAGTACTGCCTACTTAAAAACATCCATTTGTCATGGGTCAGGAGCAAGGCAACTTTTCCCAAGGACAAATATTTTGGTGCATTTAAACAGCAAAATTGCTTTGTGACATTAAATTTACTCTTCCTAATTTTTTTTTTTTAACTTTACTCACATTGAACAGAGCTGTTAGGTCATGGTTTGACCCTACAGTAAATCTAACTGTAATTGCAGAAATGATGCAAAGGATTGGYCTGATATAAGCTCACTCTCCCAACACTAATTTGCTTTTAAAAACATAAAAAGTCAATTTTCTGCAACAAGCTTTATGCTGTATTAGCATAAAGAGAGTTATCACCTCTCCATCACTCCAGCCATGGGTTGTATCAAGTATCACCTGTCYTTCTGCAGCTCTAATAAACTCAAGCTTTACGTTCTAGTTATTTCAACAAAAACAGAGTTGGGAGCCTACACCTGCTCCAGATGAAACCRGGTCTGCTCCTGCTCTCCATTATTAAGGATTTTGGCATCTTCCTTTCCTTGTCACAGGCTGTGACAAGTAAAACTTATAATATGCCTTGGACTTACCTGTTCCTTCCCTCTTCTCTCATCTGGACACTGTGGCTGCCTTTGAGTTCTCAAKTCTGACAGGGGAAATAGAAACTGTGAATAAATAAAACCACTTCATTTACATTAAAAGTGTTTAAGTCATATTGTGGAGTTGGAACACAACCTTTAAATGCAACACACCCCTCAACCTGACAGTGATATTTYTATAATGAACTGCCACAAGCAGAAACAAAGGTGTCTCATGGGCTTCCTGAAACAGTGTAAATCCCCAGGAAGGTGTTTTTCTTTAAGTATTGGATATTGGTTGAAAATGAAGTTGGCTTCCTTGCAAGGCCTTTGCAAGGTATGACTTTTTGGGCATTAAGATGGGATCTTTCAAAACTGAGCTGCCCTTGATAATTTCAGTGGCGAGGGGAAAACCTGCAGAAGTGCTTAACCCTACACAACATGGGAAATCCGCTATTCAATTAAGCCTCATATTGGAAAATGGGAATATCTTACCTTTCATAGGGCATGCCAGCTGTATGTAGCACACAAGATGACAGGGAAAACCCTGCCATAGTATGAGGAGAGGATTGGCCATGGTTAGAAGTGGAAGAATGCCCCTGCTTAGAGGGGAGAAATGTCCATGGTTAGAGCGGACGATTGCCCATGGTTAGAAAGGAGAGGAGGGTGAGTATCTCTGCCAACAGTCATCAGTACTGCCAATATTTATTTGTTTTTTGGCGCTGTTGGCCACCATCGGCTTGCACGGAGTCACCCCTGCCCGGTGCACACACACCTGAAGTGACATGAAACGACCCCACAATCAGGGGACGGCGGGGACCCCCCCGCTCCGCCACACCACGTGTTGGCACCGCTGACCCCCCCATGCCCTCCACATGCCCCGGGKGCGGTGGGCGGTGGGCTCAGGGTGCCACAGCAGCTCCACCCCGCCGCACCCTCCTCCTCTGCCCCGCACCAAAATGGCGGCGCTCGCTGAGGGCCGGGGCCGCGCGCATTGGGCGGGGCTGCCCTCCCGGGCCGCGCCTGCGCGGGGGCGCGCGCCTCCACTTCCGGCTGCCGGCGGCCGCTTCCGGTGCCCCGTTCCTTGGTAACAATGGAGCAGAAAATGGCCGCCTGAGCGGGGAGGAGGCGGCGCGGCGGCGGAGCAGCACGGGCGGAGCGCGGAGAGCCGGCACCCAGCCCCGAGCGGCGCGGGCAGCGGCGCACCAACAGCCGGGGGGGCGGCGGAGGGCGGCGGCGGCGGGCGGTGAGCACCGGGGGGGGGGCGGGCGCTCAAAATGGCCCGGGGAAGGGAGAGGCCCAGGCCCGGGGGAGGCGGCGGCGGCCTCCGCCCGAAGTGGGGGACGGGCGCGGAGCCCCTCAATCCCCGCTCGGGGACGGCGGGGCGGCTCGGCGGGATGCGGGAGGCTCCATCCGCGGTGCCGTGAGGGCGCGGGGGGCGGTGATGGCGGTCCGAGCGAGGGTGTGCCCGGATGGGCCGCGCTCCGTCACCCCGGGGATTCTCCTGGCGGGGCCTGCCGCCGCGACCCTCATCCTCCATGGGGGCTGGAGCGGCGTTTGCGCTTCCCCCAGGGAGGGCAGGCGGGCCTGGCACCCTCCGGGTGTTCGGCTGGGCTGGGGGAGGATTGGAACMAGCTCCTTTTGGGAGGGGTGGAGTGAGTGGGGTGGTTCCAGCCGCTATCCTGGGCCTCGTCCACAGTTCAGTGCCTGCTGAAGGAATCGCAGCTTTTCAGGGCCGTGTTTTCAGGCCGTGCTTCCCGTGAGTTGAGGCAAGAAGCCCTGTTGTGGGAGACAGGCGAGAGCAGCTCTTCCTATCTCGCTGTGTAAGGGATCAACTTGTGACCTGTTCAGACCTGTGGTGTTTGCTATTCCTGTGCTGAGTTTCTCCCCACTTAATCACGTCATCTTTGCTCTGTCACGTTAGCTTCCTGTACAAGTTTTTCCCTGCCCCTTTTAATGCTGTTTGTTGGCATTTGAGGTTTCTGTTTCTCTGTTTCGAAACCTTTGTCACGTCCAGCTGGATGTATGTGTTTATGTTCAGTGATCTGCTTTAATTGAGGGGCATTAYCAATGTGTGTATAATAGTGTGAGTATATATATACATATTTATATAATGTAGTGATTAAGATTTGTTATGTGTCTTGATTTTAGTGTGCGGTAGGAGCCTCACAAAAGGTTTCAGGTAAAAAAATATACTGTTTTGCTTTAAAATAGTACTGTTATTTTTCTGTTTCTCAGAAAGTTGGAGCCTTGATACAGAGAAACTCTTAAACAAGAATTCAAATTTGATAGTACCCAATAGTATCAYCACACATCACAGTTATTTTGCTGTCCATATTGGCAGTATTGGGTAATTTCAACTTGAAAATWGTTGTCAAAATGTTCAGAAGAAGTTGTGACACTAATTTGTCCCTGAATTTTAATTGCACTGACTTGTCAAATCTTTCTAAAACAAATAAACAGTTGGCTGCTTCTTGGACAGTTAATTATCTTAATTGGGGGTCAGATATTTAGTTTTGTTGTAGTGGTCAACTAGCACTTAAACTGACTCTGTTCCCTCTACAGCTTTACCATTTTGGAATTAAAATAATGATAGCTTGGAATTACATCCTGGGAAGGGAAAACACWCCACACATTATAAAATTAAGGGTTTCTTGCTGTGTTAGACCACTAAGGCACAACAACTGCWGTGTTCCCTTCATCAGCAACTCTGGCTGGGTAAAKGTTTRTCACTGAAATAACCACACSARTATTTTTCAAGCCTGTAGTGGTTGCCATCTGTATCCTATTTATCTTCCATATTACTGAATTCCTGGACATGCCAGGGTGTGCTGGTCAAGAAAGTGTCTGGTCTCCAGTCTGTGTTCTGAGGTTTTTTTAGAGGAATGGAGAGTGTAATCCTTAGATGGAAATGTTTTCAAAACACCTCTGTGTCAATACACCTGCCTTGCTTGTTTCTTTACTCCTCTTCCCTATGGGAATGTATCAAAATAAATCCCTTGATCTTAGCAGAATGATTCCAGTTGCAGTGGAGGTGTTGTACTTTTTGTTTTTTAACAATCATATACTATGACATAATGGTATGACTTCGTAGACTTGATTCTAAAGATTGCATTCAAGTCCAATCTAATGTAGCTTAATACATAACTGGGCARTCCTAAATTTTATTTATAGAGAAATTCAGTTTCCATGTATTATTACACTTGAATCCAAACATTATTGAGTGTTTATCCAAGTGTGGTTTAGTCTCAGTTTTGGTGAAAACTTMTCAGCTGCTGAGCTTACAAAAATTATTCTTGAAGGGATAAAACCAAATGTGTACATTCCTGGCTTCAAGATATTTTTTATGAGACTCTTGTGCCTCACAAAAACAAAACTTTCTCAAGAGTGTAGCAGTGCCATAASTGAGTCAGGAGCTTTGTGTGGTGAGTAGAGATAGCCAGGAGCATCCCAGGGACTGGTTTTGCCTTTGYACAGGTTTTGGCTGCAGGTAAGATCACAAGCCTGTGTCTCCTTCAGACTGATCAGGTTTGAATTAACAAGGTACTTGTTAGCAACTTTTGGCTGGTGTGCAGTSTTGAAGCTCATCTTTTGACTCAAGGTCTGCAGAGTTGTGTGGTCTCGTAAAACCACCTAATGATTATGGAATGTAGGAAAAGCCAGCACACATTTTATCWTAGTTTAGTTTATCTTAGTTTAAAATCCTCTTGCTCAGAGCACTCTGGGTTTCAATGTGCAAGGTGTATGTGTACTGTGCACGTAGTCCTGTTAAAGCACTGGAGCCTCCCTGCCTTGGGTTGGCATCAGAAGTGGAATTCTCATGGCACAGATGCCAATTTAAATTCAAATAAATTTGACTTCATTTTATTTCSCACTTCTGTGTTTGTTGGGTACCAGATGTCAACAGGAAGAGGAATGCACGTATCAGAATTCCTCTGTGGGTTGTGGTTGCAGTGATTCTCTGGTTGTTGTCCTTTTGCTATTAGCAGTGCCTGTACTTGTGTGGAGACAGTGAGATTCAAGAGTGAATTTAAATATGTGGTTTTCTTTTTTAGTTGAAATTCAGTGAATTTTGATTGGCTTTAGTGCAACCACAAGCTGTGTTTCTTCAGGAACCAAAACTCTACTTRTCCCTGGATATCAGTCCTGTTCATAGTGCTGTCTCTCAGGGTCAACTCTAGTTACTTGTGTGCAATTTTCCTCCTTCTTTTGAGTTCAGAGTGGGCCTTCTACTGCTGACCCAGCAGGAAGCTCATTTCTGGACAAAAAGAGCATCATTTCATGAGGCTGCAGGGCTGGAAACTTGCTGCACCTCGTGTACACCAACCTTTTTTATCTGTGCTATCTGAGTTTGATGGCAAAGGCAGTGTTATCTTAATTTTGTTTTCCACTTGTATGTGAAAAGTGTTGTTTTAGTAAGTGCAGATGATAAAAGGCAAAGGCCAGCATTTTGGCAAATTGTTACCACATTTTATTTTCAGAGCTCCATCTTGGTTCCACATGCTCTCAGTGTTCTGGAATTGCTAAGCTCTGCCCTGATTTCCTCACTTCTTTCTGACTTTATCAGGAGTTGTTAGTGTTTCTKTCTTTATCTCAACAGTTGGTTCAGCTGAAGTGTTTTTCCTCTCTGGTTTGTTTTTTGTTGTGGATTTTTTTTATTCTGTGGAACTTTCTGTCACTGTTCTGCAAAAGTATTCATTTGCTTCCTATTGTTTAAAATGTATGTTCAGAATGACATCTTGTTTGAGGGCCTTTGCTTTGAAACACACTGSGGTAGTGAAAAAGCTGAATCGATGTTTAACACTCCTTGTTAAACTGGTGTTTAAATTTTACAGGACTTTACACGGAACACTCACACAGAGCACAAAATTTTCTTCTGGCTTTCCAAGAGTGGTGCATGTTCTSTGATAATTCTTGAGTTAAAGAGGACATAGGGAGTTTTTGATTTTAAAGCTTATGCTAGGTTTAATAAAAATCTAATAAGAATTAGATCTGTTCATCACAGTGGAAATGAAAAGCCAGAATAGCAGGGAAAAAAAAACCCAGAATTCATGATGCAGCTTTGAAAACTAGAGAAGTTTATTCCTTTTACTGTTTCTAAGATGGAGATGAGTGTATTGGACCTGTGGTATCAAAGCCTTCGGTGTGATCACAAAARGAAACTTGTGCACCTGCACAAAAAGAAAAGCCCCAACAAACTTGACATAATGAAGTTCCATGTATAATGCAAATAGGTGTCTTTCATTTCACTGTCTTAGGGTGTCTTTTTCCTTTAATGATGRGACTCACCGACAGTTTTTGCTTCTGCTTTTGAGCTTGAGTGATGAAATATTTAAGATGAAAATGTAGTTTCTGTTATGTCTTACTTCCAGCTAGTTTTGAGTATTGAGAAATTGGATACTGACKGGCATGGAAACTGTTTTTCAACTTTGAATTCTTCTAGGAAAATGAGGTGGGGTGGRTTGGATGAGTGCTGTGTGTGAAGTGGGTTGTGTTTGTGCTTGAAGAAGCCGGGGTAACAGGACTGCCTGTTCTAGCTGCTGTTCCTGTGTCATTTGAGCCAGGGAATTGGAGAGAGGGCTGGCTGGGGCTGAGCTGCCATGGCACGTCAGAGCTGCTGAAGTCACAGTTCGTGGAAAGCGCTTGGACACGCAGCTGTGCTGTGCTTCTCTCAGGCTGAAGTGTCTTTGAGGCATGTTCATTGCAAGCTGAGCAGGAAAAATAGCSTCTAACGACCCAAAGCAAACAAATCAGTGTTTCTGGCTTGCATCCTGAGTCACTCCTTTTGTCCCAGGGTTTGATCAGTTCTGCAGACTGGAAGTAAGCAAGGTGCTCTACCGGTTGAAGTACCTAATTAAGATGAGGGTATGAATCATAAATGAGAAGTTGGCCTTCTGCTGAGGACATCTCTGGAACACCCACACTGCCATGCTCTTTTTTGTTTATACAGAGGTATTAACTATGTTGCTGGGACGTGAGGTAACTCAGGAAACATTCCTGCTGTACATGGCACGAGGGATCCTCAGGTGAGGTTGAAATACCGGT